ATGAGTGTGCGATCTTTGTTTGTCTGTGCGAGAACTGTGACAGTTGGACTTTTTCAGTACTGCATTGTTATTAACTGCGTCACTTCCATATGACATTCAGAATGTGATGCGCCTTCATCCTTGAAACAGCAGCACGCAAATGGTCGAGTTTGAACGGATGCATTTATGAGGCAAGCATGTACCGTGTGATTCCCATAGTAAGATCTACCTAAGAAGTAGCTTTAGCAAAACTTTACGGTCGTTTTACTACAAGCCGTAGTTAACGCTGTCGTCCACCGGCTGATTCGACACGATGGAAGCATTTTGAGGTCAAAACGGTCAGACCCATTTGAATGCTGCCATTAGTCATACGTGATATCGTTATTCAATGCATCGATTTTGTGAAAGAAATCAACCACAGTTTCCGTATCTTTTAGTGTTTTCCATCGTTATTAAGTTCCAAATTTTATATTGCCCCACTTGTTCCGTAGGCTTTAGTTAACATTTGATTTAATGGTAGACTTAACAAAATGATGTCCTCCAGTCAAGTCAAGTAATTCGTTGGTGACCGACGGAAATTTCCTTCCAGATCAGATCTTTGTCTCTCGGATAAGAGACTCTTCTAAGAAAGAACTTTCCGGCTTTTTGCAAAGAGAAAAAGCCTAATCTGTGAAAAGTCCGGAAACAGAGAGTAGAATGCGGTTATCTCAATCAACACGTCTAAGAAGGAGTTACTGTAATGTCCAAATGTGAATCAGGTTGGCAGAAGAATTTTTTGAACACATGAAGACATCATCTGTGCATAGCTTACCGACAAAAGTGAAAAGATTTTACTGTGCTCATTGTTGATGTGCAAGCATTTTTCCTTACAGTGACATCATATTTTGAACTGTACTCATGAGAATTCCAAGCCTCACAACACTTACTGGACGGCTTTTTACAGCCATTTACTGTACCTAATACGACTGAAGACACTGTTCAATCCGGGACTTATTAAGTGTGCGCTTGAATTCAGGTACTTTACTGATGGCACAGAATTTCTCGACTTCTAGCTCTCCACAGTTGAAACTGCAGTGTCTAATGGACCAGGATATTGGCCGCCTATAAACCAAACATGCGCCTCCTCAATCTACGTGTCGTTTACTCGTTACTTGTTACTCGTATTTTAGCGCTTTACTTGGACACTCACCTTTAATGATTACTGATGGTAAGAGACAAACCATTGAATATGCTTAGAGTGTTTATGTTCTTGGAATCGAAGAAACTTGGTACACACAATCGGTTATAAGGAAGTGGGTAAATTCAGTGCTGCTTTTTGTTTCACGGGGTGACCAACAGGGTTCACTAGTTTGGGATTCAGCCGACATCTGCTGCTCCGTAGACATGATGTACATCCCGGCACAGCGAGGAATAGATTACACAGAGTGGTTCAGACTCTTGATATTCCAATAACAAATCATTTCAGACCCATAGGGATCACCTGCTTCATTAAAAGCCAGGATCAGATAAATCAACGTGGAAATATTGTGAAGCCTAGTTTGAAGAAGGTTTTGGCTTTTGAACGCGATGAAAATCTTTGTGATGACCGAGACAGAGCACTAAATAGCAATTTCGTCCCGTTTTGGGACTCAACAGTGCCTTGTGCATGAGAAAAACCAAATGAGCGAATCCAAACATTCACCGTCCATAAAGGTCTTGGCTTACTTGAAGAATTCTTGGGACGCAATATGACAGCCAATTAGTTGAAGATTTATGGCATGTGTGTATCTGCATGGAGGCGAAATATAAAAGATAGATTGTTTTTTATTGGACACCCTTACGGGATGAGCAGCAGGGTGATCTACCGATACTCCGTGGAAAGCGGCAACCTAGGCTCCGGGGCATGAAGTAGCGAACCACATGAGCACGGAAGACAGTGAAGTGAAGTGTTCGTTGTTTTAAAAACTAGACACCCGCTACTGTACTTTTGTAAGACTCGTTCTTATTTTTGAGTAATTCTAAACTCGAAGATCATTGGCTTCAGAGTAGGTGGGATAACAGATTTGTCATATCTTCAAATGATTGTGTTTATGCAATTCGCTTACGGAAGGGAACGATTCGGCAGTAACAGTAAAACCCGTAATAGTAGTTGAGTTGTCATTTCCCAGTTCCGGTCATTACCTTCTTCGTAGACTGGAGTGATCGTTTTAATGCTGGACAATGCTCGTCTCGTCGACCATGTCAAACACTCGTCCACTTGTGATACCGCTGGTTGCTCCCTTACTGCAGTATAATTTAATGTGATTTCTCTCTCTTCGTCTTGTAATTTCATTCCTCAGGGCGATCCGTTACGTATACAATGCTTTTCGTGATGCTCGTCAATACACTGTGGAATTTGGGGTATTCCGTCTTCCAGTCACACCTGAAAAGAGTTCCCAATCTCGAACAGCTCAAAAACAATACTATGAGCCGTCCACACTGCCCAGTCGTACGTCTCGCGATAAAAGGTTTTCTGCCACTTATCTGCTTGATCCTGTCCCTCCCACGGATATAAAGGAAATCGATGCAACACAACACCAACCGCGTCGTGTACCCACCCGAAAATCTGCTGCCAAGTCGGAGTCCCATGTCACTCCGATTCCATCTCCAAGACCTGATTGTGAGTATTTATTGAGCATTTTTTCAGCTGATGTTTTACGGGGAACTTTGTGCTGCAACAGTTTTTTTTTACCGGGCCTTCCAGTTTTCTGTGCACATATTCAATCTGTTTGGCCATTGATATTCGCCCATTTTCCTCATGATTAAACCCTATGGATCTTCCCAATCAATAAACCAGACTCGAAACTCGTGAGACACTTCACCGTGGACGAATTATTTCATCTCACGTGCATTCAGTGGTAGAAACGTGAGGTGCTTGTCACGATCATATCTCCAGGGCCTAAATATTCACAGATAATCGGGGTTTTCTTGCAAACAGTCATGAGAAGCTCAACCATTTAGTACCGTCAAAGTCAGTCAAGCGATGGAAATAATCTTCATTTATCGGTAGCGAGAGACCGAAGATAATAGACAGTTGCAGATGCATTAACGAACAACTTGAGATAAACTGAAAAAGTACCTTTATTTTTGTTTGATTGTTTATCGCTGACGTAATTGATCGTATTATGCCCGTTCTCAACGATTACATTCACAGAATCCGTTCTAATCTAAGCTGTTTTTCTCTGAAATCATCCGGTATTTTCCGTGCTGCTTCTGCTGCCTTTGAAGATACATTCTAACCAATGTATTTCGCTTATCGTGCGTATTGCATGTGTGTGTGAGAGTTGATATTGGTATCACTCACTCTAATCAATAAATCAATACTACATCTTCCTGGCTTTGCGAGTTCCCGTTGGTTACCCGTATTCCACATAATCACACGTCATATCAGTTTCACCATCGTGTGTGTCTGGAAAATTGCGCCTGCACACATTTGTGTGGATTTGAATCCGCTTCTCATCGAATCCAAAGGGAGAGATGTCGGTGTCCTGTATTGTCTGCACACCGTGCCACACACACACACACACACACACACACACACTGGTATGCTGATTGTAAGCGGTCGACAGAGTGCTGGATGAGCTTATTCGTATCGGCACGTGTGTAGATGCATTTCCGTGGTGCTACAGCTATGTGCTTGTCCATACCGCACATTTTGTTGGGTTACTGTCCGAGATGCCGCAGACAAAACACTGAATTGCCGAATGCGTCCGACCCCTCCCCACACCGTGTCACCTTTCGCAGACGCACTGGTTCGTTCGGCTTGTGTGTGGAGCTAGCATTTCTGTGGTTGTATCTGTCTTTTTATCATTGGCTGTCCTCGGTCGTTCATTTCCGTGCACACCGCACTATAGAGTAGTCGGAGCTCACAGTCCTGCGCACGGAATATAATTAATATGCCATTCGAATCATGCATGCAGCCGATTCAGCTGAGCATGATGCAATTGCCAATCCATCAGTGTGACTTGAGAACTGAGTTTTCAGGGATTAGGGTTTAAGCAGTCATATGTTTGGTCGCTACTAGACAAATAACAAAATTGCTACCCACAAGTGTTCAATCAATAGTTGTTCAGAATTAGAAAAAATTGGAGCCATATCGNATATCGGTCATGTAGTGGCCAACTGCCCTTAATCGCCACCTCACAAAATACTCAATCCGACAATATAACACACTGGACTGATTCCAATTTGTAGCTTCCTGTCATGACCAAACTGTTCCTCATTTTTGTTTCAAATTTTTCGAAAGTGTGTTGACTGGCAAAGGAAACGCACTGAACACATTGGGGTGTTCATCTCGTCCCTTGTTTTGTTCCACACCGTTACTGTCGTGTTTTCTGTTCCTTTGAGACCTGTTCTGGCCATATCCTTATTTCTTCCTCACACGTGTTGTTCACAAGCTGACAATCACTCATAGAGAATCACTCAACAAGTATCACACCGCTTACACTTGCTCCGCCGACTTTACAAGATCCCAGAAGCTGGTCCATTTCATTCTTACCCGTCTTTCTCATAGCTCATTATCTTTTGCTTCCATAATACATGGTCCCGAAGTCCCACTTTCTGCGCACAACGGGCATGCATTGAAAGGAACCGAACGACGGCGTGTTGGAAAGAACTGAGGCAACGGACTTTGGTAACGGTCAGGGATTATAATAAGTCTCGGTTAAAAGCTGACTTCGCATGTATGTAAATCTCAGACGTAGGAGAAAAATTCAACATGGCACCGTACTATCATGTTGGTGGCACAGTACCGTATCGACCACAGCCGACCGAACCGAACAGACTCAGCTGGTTTGTTTTGTTCATTGAGAATGAACGGATTGCGGAGGAAGATACCGAGAATTGTGATCGGTAACATCCGATAGAAGGTTGGTAGCTTCATCATTTGCATGCAAACTGGTCAAAACCAAATGCGTAGAAACGGAATGGATTGATGGTAGAAATAGTTGCAGTTAAGGGAACATGAAATTTTGTAACTTAGTCGAAACCATTCAGACTCACAAACATAAGCGTTTTTCATTTTCAAAAGGCCATTCATTTCCTCTTTTGTCCCCTCCGACCGTTATTTCGCTGGTCTGCGACACTTTGCGTTTTGGTCTTTCGGCGATAAGTGAAACTATTCGGCATTCCCCTTTATGGAACGCTGACAAATTTATTTCACACGTGGCTTCCTGTGTAAGGTTCACCTGCTTGAGAATCCTCTCCTAAATGTCGTCCTCAGTGTCCCTACTTGCTCGCAGTTCCGACTAACTTTTTCAACGTGTAGTTTGCATAAAATTTATTGCATCCATTGTGACCTGTATACTGGTCCGCGATTGAAGAATATGCTTTGGACCATCCAACTTCGAAACGGTTGTACAAGACTGGCAGGAGAATGTGCTGGCACTCACCACTTGAGGTAATCAACTGGAAATAGTGGAGGGCCTTAATTATCTCGAGCGCTCGGTCCTTGCTGCGAGAAGAATAAACGAAAAGATCACATCACGAATTACGAAATACATATTAGTTTTTACCAACCGGCGACCCCAGTGGCGCTGCTATGATATCCGATTTCCCCTAAAAGAAATAGTTGTACATTGCTACGATTCGTAATATTTCACTTGACAGTCGTAAGACCTGGCCTCTGAGCTGAGAATACCAATCGACTGGCTGTATCAGACAATGGACCTCGGAGCATTACTCGTGTCTGGTGGAAGCACCGGGTGAGAGCTGACGAGGTTCGTCGTGTGTTGTCCCCTAAAAGAAGAAATCAGCACACCACATCCGACAGCTTGGTCACGGTTTGTGTGGTCTTCAGTCATCTAATTCTCCTTACTCTGTCTGCTCAAGACATACAAAAACAGACAAACAATAAGGTTGTTATTCTTGTTGCTCCAGGTGCTATGTTTTCACTCACTTTCATATTACTGAATTACCTTCCCCCATTTTCCCATTTTCGTTGTCTTCATGATGACACCATGCTTGTTATAAACCTCTTGGTACTGATTAACTTGCTAGTGTACCTTCTTCGGAGCAATATATATGTCTCTACGTTTCGCACAAAAGCTTTCGTCTCTCGTAAACATATCGACTAGTTCGCTTCCATCTTAAAACTTCAAAAAATCTGCCAATTTGTGGGAACTCGTGTTTTATGCGAAGGCGTAACCCTTTTTTACTACCTTATGCCTATCGAGGGCAGAATTTGATATTCGTTACTCCTATGTTGTGATTTTCCTAGGTGTATTGCCTTTTTTCTACTCAAAATTATGATGTAGAATTTGTTCAGAGCTACGTTATGGTGGAAATAGGTTTCCTCCATGGGAGCTGATGTGAGTATTTCCGTCACTCCCTCATGCTAATTTTCATTTGTTTTGCTTGATATAACTAACAAATGCATTCATATCTATATAATCATGCTATCTAATCCCTATCCGTAATATTTCATCCATCAGCTTTACGACTGTCCAAGAATTTTTCGGCGGGTACCGAATCACCTGACACGTCGACAGTTTCCAATGCTCCCACACCAGTACCACCACCACGTTTAATCTCCTCGCCTTCGACCTTGCATAGCCGTGATTCTCACACGGCAAAAAAGCCGCTTCCCTCCGAGACCGATCCTTCTGTGATGTCCCCGACCCGTTTGGGCAGTTCCGTTCGTGGGAGGACTAGCACACGTGCTGGCTTCGATAAATCAGGCTCTTTAAAGATGCACAGAAGGTCTTTTAGCGGGGTAAGTTAATGCCTTCCTGCATGTTTCGCGTTTGTTTGTTTGTTCTTCGCAATAGCGCTGGTTTTTGAGATCAGAAAGTTTGTCAATTATCCAATTTGAACCAGTTGACCAAGCCTGAATCCACTTGTTCAGTTGATCACGTGCGCATTCACGGACACTAGGGTCCGTTTTAATCTTACTATATGGATCTCACTCCGAACTCAAACTAACATAATTCAACTCTGTTAGTTAGTTACTTTACTTCGACTATCTCTTACGGGAGGCTAAACCGGCCTTATACTGTGCCTGACAGACTCCAATCAATATTGCAGTTGCAAACTCGTGCCGGACCGCCTAGAAGAGTCGATTTGGGTATACTGCCCCACTCTGATCCACTCGTCGCCTGTGCGGCGCAGCATGTGGTCAAACCACTGAGCGAATCGTTTATTGTGTCGTCGAAATGACGTAGCATTTCATCATTGGAAATATTGTCCTGTCAGTAAAATTTGAAAATAGATCTGGGATATCCGTGGTTAAAAACCCAGAGTTTGCGTGTGTGTGTGTGTGTGTCCGCGAACCACAGCGACCGGTTTCATAATCATGTGAGAGCTTGGTACACCCGAAGGTTCATCTTAAGACTAATTTCCATCTTACACTATAGCACATTCCTCATTTCGAATAATGCTTTTCGAGTGTTGTCGATTCGAATAGTTATTTTGTTTTGAACTTGGTTGCCAAGGCGCACCGGTGACTCCAGGTACCTGAAGCAGGGAACAATTTCCATGGGTTCGACTCAATGTTATAATGTTTTCGATGCGGTTAATGTGGCTACATGATCCTCTTTTCAGTAGTGTTGATCTCTGAGCAGGTGTGGGTAAAACAGTTTGGACTACCAGGCAACTGCTGCTGTCTTACCATTGTGCCAGTGTTATTAGTAGCTTGAGCTAATCAACGTAAATGTCCGCTTAGTTGGATCTCATTTGTATTTACCTTCATTATATATATATATATATATATATATATATATCTTAGGATTTTTTCTCACCAGATGCTTCGAGCAATGCATTCTTTAAGAGCATTTCTTGGAGGTGAAAACGGGGCTTCTCCTTCCCTCGGATGGACTTAGTCTTTTCGAGGGCATCTAATGTAAGTTTGGGGATGACGTATCATACGTAAATTTATGTACATACCATTGCACCACGCCACACTCCATTTCTTTCTTGGCAAAATGCCCAATGACAGGTTGTCATAGGTTCTGGAGGTCACTTTAGTCCCCGTAACTATTTTATATTTGAATCAGTCTTCAGGATTGAGGGCAGAGGGCAGGGTGCCCATGTAAGCCCCATCACCAATGGGTCGAAGGTCCGATCACAACTGTTCGTTCCTCCATAGCCCCTTCAGGTGCTCATCCAGACGCCGTTTGAGAGCAGCGTCTGTCCTCTCTTCCACCACAATCGCTGGAAGGGAATTCCAGAGGGCTGTTGACCTACGCGAGGTCGGTAGACTAACGGAAGACCAACTGACTGAAGTTTCCGCAACGTGAGAGAGTGCCCCCGCGTGCGGTGCTCTGTCCGTAAAGGGAAGTACTGTTGCAGCTCCGGGCCCATATCACCTCTGAGTCCTGAATGCATACCTCGAGTGTGTGGTGATGGGGCTTATACGGGAAGTTTCCCACTGTCTCTAAGTGACGAACGTTGAACATTGATCACTGATTCGTAAAACGCGACAGGAGATTGATTTCGTGTGGTGCCAATAGCACTGACAGATTGCCGCAAGCCAAACCCTCTTTGGGGTATCAAACCAACTTTTAAACACGACCCAGCACAGACGCTTTCAGTACCCAGGTAGGAGACACTTCGGACAGCAGGTTCGCCGTGAAAGGGGGATATCCCAACAACCTGCGAGATTGGGAGAATGCAAAACGACCATGAACCCAAAGGTCCAGTGAGACATGGAAAGACTCACACTCAATCTAAAATGGCGGCGACGTCCTCATTCTTACCAGTGGAAATCGTCAAATTAAATGTTTATGACGACCTGCAAGACTATGCTGAGATATCCCTCACTCTTAGATCTTTAAATCATAAAGTTTCACTACAAAAATGGTATTCAATCTTGCTCATATGAGTTATTATGCGGTTAGATGTCTGCACTTAGCGGATAAGGGTTGAACTCTATTCGGAATTTTAATTTATACAGATTGAACCTGAACTATCCTAATAAGTAATCAATAATAAGCAGCGGGCAGTACCTAGGAATCTGGTGGGTATTGATCGTGCTAGTACTCTTCATTTTAAAACGATGTATAACCCCGTAAACCGCATTGCGACGAAGTCCGCTTCTAAATAAAGACAATTCCATAACGATCCATCTGCTTAAAATAGTCTTCCATATCGGGTGATCAAATCACTCCATCACTTTCCAGTTTTCACAATCAATAGCGATTTTGGTTGCTCATAGTTACCCATTTGCATGAAGGAGTAAATAGATGATTGGAGGGTTGGAATCAGAGTCAGATCGAAAATATATAGCTCGAGAAGTCTACAGTTGTAAGGGCATCGAATAGATTTACGAGCACTTCTGGTTACGACCAGCGATTGCGGTGGAAACTCCTTGGGTGGTAACATGCGAGCCCCATCAGAATCGGAAGTACGAAGCTGCATTCAATCATTAAAGAAAAGAAAGACTGCGGGACCTGATGGGCTTCTCCCTATTCTTTTCAAGGTTGGTGGAGATTCTCTTGTGGACTCAATTACTAGCTTACTTCGCAGCATTTGGACGGAGGAGCGTATCCCTTTGTCTTGGGGTGAATCGATGATCGTCCCTATTTTCAAGAAGGGATCACGCGACGACTGCGCTAACCACCGTGGGATTAGTTTAGTTCCGATAATCACAAAAGTGTTGACTTCTGTGATACTTCGCCGCCTGACACCCTTAAGGGAGAGGAATATCCGCGAATAACAAGCCGGATTCCGACCAGGTCGCGGATGCATCGACCAAATCTTCACTCTACGTCAAGTCCTCGAACTGCGTCACACATTGTCGATCAACAATCGCAGTGTTCCTTGACCTAAAAGGAGCCTTCGATTCAGTTGACCGTGAAGCACTTCTGGGGTCGCTGCTCCGTAAAGGAATGCCCCGGAAGTATGTAAACCTATTGCGGTCGTTGTATCTGCATACTTCTGGTAGCGTAAGGGTCTACGGTAAGGTAAGTAAATGGTTCGAAACCAGGAGCGGTGTCCGACAAGGGTGCCCTATTTCGCCATTCCTGTTCAATTTCGTCGTAGACGAAGTACTGGAGAACGCACTTACTGGTCTCCAGAACGTAGGTATTGAATGGGCAGCTGAAGAAAAGCTGTGCGATTTAGAGTA